GTGAGCTGTGCAGCAGCTAGGGAGACCTTCTTGGTGTCGTTGTACTGGTAGTAGTCGAAGATATACTCCATTCTTCTCTCCCAATCCACATATGCCTCGGGGTTGACTCTTCCGGCGAATGTGGGTGCTGTAAGCTTTATATCCTTTCCTGCAAGCCACGGTTGATCATATTCTCGGTCTCTCCCTCTTCTATGACGATCATGGTACCTTCTTTGCCTCGGGTTAGGATCATCTTCCTCTAAACTCGGCATGTCATCGTCAGTTCCACTTTCTCCTTGTGGTACAAGAGTCCTCTCTCGGTTTCTAGGGCCATTAGGAGCTCCGGCAGGAGGTGGTGGTGGTAGTCGCTGCTCCAGCTGATTCATCCTAGCACTGATGCCTTGAATGGACTCAAGCATCTGCCTCATAACATCAGCTTGATCTGCTTCTCCCATCGTAGTACCTACAAAGTTTCAAAGATCAAGTGTTTAATGGGTTCTATTATAAGCCAAGTATAACAATAGCTTATGAAGTATAGTCCTAATGCTCAATACTCACTCACCCTCTAGAGACTACCCATATAAACAAGGCAAGGTGCCAAGTAAAACCCACAATGACAGAAAACAACTTTTACTCTTCTTAAAGCTAGTGGTGGTCAAACTCAAACATTTTAAGCTCTTTTCTTTTGCATTTGATAGCTCTCTTCTCTTATATATTTTTTTATTTTTTTATTTTTTTATTTTTATGTCAACAGCCTCTTGCTTTCTAGTCTGGCTTAGAAAGCCATTCTGGAGGACAAGAGTTTACATAGTGTAAAGAATGATGATGAGGAGAGTAGGTACGAGCACCCCGTGCAAGTTTATCCGCTATTGTGTTCTGCATGCGTGGAATAAGATGCAGGGAGAAGGAAACAGATTCCTTCTTACTGGTCTCTAATTCTTCCAAGTGAAGTGAGAACGCCGACCACTCAGTTGGTTCAGAAGTCATCCTCACCATCTCCAAACAGTGTGTGAGGAAAGTCATCTCTAGTCGTCGTGCATCGAGCATGCAGTGCATTGCCCAGATAAGAGCTTCTAGTTCTGAATGTAAAGCCGACAAGCTGCCCCGGACACTTTTTGCACCCATTAAAGGGCCCTCCACTCCATTATGTTGACAAAACCACCCCAATCTTGCATTAGAACTAGATTGTTTCCATGACCCATCTGTTTTGCAGACTGTAGTGCTGGTGTAAACGGTTTCTTCTGCTGGTGCAGATAGGCCCATGACATGATCTTCTCATTGGGCCACTTCCCAAGACTCTGCTTCTGCTGTAGCAAACTTTATCACCTCTCGGGGATCGCGGTCAATATTCCTGAATAGTTTATCGTTCCTCATTTTCCAAATGTACCATAATAACCATCGAAAGACCTTCATATCATCATGGTCTGGCAAATGCCAGAAAAGATGGGCCATATTATGGAAAAGCGCATCCGACGAAAACTCATTCATTGGAGTGGGGATAACCGACAGTTCCCATACTTGGAATTCTGGTGGGCACTCAAAAAGAGTATGATTGATTGTCTCTCGCACTGCTCCACATCGTGTGCACTGGGGGTCGCAGTTAATACCTCTATTCCGTAACCGGTCGGCAACCGCCAAACACCCCGATATCACTTGCCAAAAGAAGTGTTTTATTTTTGGTGGACATTTGATCGACCATACTTGTGCTTGGAGTTTACTCACATTTGGTCCATATGGACCTATTGTTGGGACCTCCAAATTTTGTTCCGTTAGGTATCCTGATTTTACCGTATAGCGTCCATTTTTTTGTAAAACTCCATCCTAATTGATCCTGCCTGCTATTCCGAGTCGTTGGCAACCCAATGAGCGAGACGTCCTCTGGGATAATTAATTGATTTAATAGTGGTATGTTCCACGTTGAGGTTGAAGGGTCAATCAACTGATTGACCGTTAGTTCAGGGTAGAGGTTGTACCCTTTGTATGTCGCTGACCTCGGGCGTGAGTCAGGAATCCATGGATCATTCTATACAGATATAGAATGCCCAGAACCAACCCTTTTGATTAGCCCTTTGTGTACCAGAGGTCTAGCAGATGTGATACTCTTCCATCCATAAGATGCCGAATATGACCGTATTGGATCGAGGGGCGACCCATACCTAAAATATCGCCCTTTGAAGACCTTTGCAAAGAGTGAGTCAGGGAAATCAATAAGTCTCCATAGCTGTTTAGCTAGTAAAGCCGTATTAAAATCCTCAATTACTCTAAACCCAATACCTCCTTCGATCTTGGGTTTACATAGTTTGTTCCATGCCATCCAATGCATACCCTTTGTTTGTCCATTAGTACTCCACCAAAATTTTGCCATTGTGCTTGTCAGTTTAGCTGTTAGTGATTTAGTAGTCTAAAACATGACATAGTGTACGTAGGGACTGCAGTAGCCACTGACTTGATAAGAACCTCCTTGCCCCCTTTTGACAGTAGCCTGGCCGTCCAACTATTAACTCGTTTTAGTTGTCGCTCGAGGAGAAAATTAAAGATCTTTGTCTTTGCTCCGCCCATACTTTCCGGTATCCCCAGATATGATCCCATACCTCCAATATTTGTGATGCCCAGAGTGTCATGTATTGCGTTCCTGACGCATGGATCCACACGATGTCCGAAATGGACCGATGACTTATCATAATTAATTCGTTGTCCCGATACTGATCCATATTGATTTAATATGTGGAGCAGTTTAAGTGATTCTGCCGGGTTTGTCTTACAAAAGAAGAGACTATCATCCGCGAAGAGCATATGTGAAACCGGTGGGCTGGTCCGAGCTACCTTCAGACCCGTAATTGAACCATCGCTTTCTGCCTTTTTGAGGTTTGAGATCAGGGCCTCCGTACTTAAGATTAAATGGTATAGGGATAAAGGGTCTCCTTATCTCAGTCCCCTTTTGGGGGTCACCTGGCCCCGTGGATGGCCATTAATAATGATTTTATATTGGACATATTGGATACACCACATTAACCAACTAATCCATTTTTCCGCAAATCCCATTTTTCTAAGCAGGCGCTCAATGAATGACCATTCCAGACGATTGTAGGCTTTGCTCATGTCCGTCTTAACAGCCATAAAAGTTTTGCTACAGGATTTGTTTATCCGTAGAGCATGAAAGATTTCCTGTGCTACTAATATGTTATCTGAAATAAGTCGTCCCGACACAAAAGCTGACTGAGTCTCCGATATAATCCTAGGGAGCAGGTTTCTTAGCTGTTGGCATAAAACCTTAGAGACAATCTTATAGCCCACATTACATAGACTAATTGGTCGTAGCTCTGTCATTCTGGTAGGTCTTCCCAGTTTTGGTATTAAACAGATATTCGTGGCATTTAAACGTTTATCAAAGGAGCCTTTTCTCATAAAATCATTTACCATTGCAACCACATCATAATTTATAATCTCCCAGGATTTTTGAAAAAAAAGGGCAGTCATACCATCAGGCCCCAGTGCCTTTCCTGGATGCATCATGAATAACGCTTTCCTGACTTCCTCCTTCGTTGCCAGTTTAACAAGTTTCATATTGTCGTCGTCTCTTAATACCGGTGATATTTCCGCTAAGACCTTTTCAAAGTCAGTAGGGGAAGTCGTTGTGAAAATGTCATCAAAATATTCCACTGCTACCTTTTCTACTTTCCTTTCTCCTTCCACCCAGACACCTGCTTTATCATACAGGCCCACAAGTCTATTTATTGATTGCCGTTGTTTCGTAGTTGCATGATAGAATTTCGTGTTTAAATCCCCACATCTATTCCACATATTCCGACTCTTCTGTTCCCAATAGAGTTCTTCATCCCGATACGCTGATTTAAGTTTGAGAGTAATATTATTTAGATCCTCTTGTGAACTGTTATAATCATTCTGCATGTCCTCGAGAATCTTTTGTAAATCCGTAATTTTATCCCTTCCATACGGTTGGTTGACCATCCTCCATTTAGAAATTTCACGCCGACAGGAATTTATTTTGTCCACTATGGTTCTTCCTTCGTCCGCTTGATCTGAGTGCCACCCCTCAGTTATAGCCTCCATTAATCCGTCGTGACCAATCCATCGTTTGTCAAACCGGAACTGACTCCTGTGTTTAAATTTTTTCACATCCAAAGTCGCCACAATAGGCCGATGATCCGAACCCACCATCCTCAGATATTCGACATAAGAGAAAGGAAATAAATCCTGCCAGCTCTCTGTTGCTATAGACCCCTGTCTAGTCGACATCTGACATTTTGCCCATTTCGTCTTCCCTTCCATAATAATATATTTCCCCGGTTCGGGAAGTCCATCAATCCACAATTAGCTATCATAGTGTTAAAACTATTGAAAGACGCCGCATGTCTAAGAGTTCCACCTTGTTTTTCATGATTTCTCGTTAATTCATTAAAATCTCCAATTAAAAACCATGGTTCTGTCCGTATCAGACTAATCCTGGTTAACCGTTCCCAGACTTGGTTGCGTAATTTTATAACCGGGTCTCGGTATACAAATGTCATATAAATTATTTTCCCATCAAACTTAGCCTCAATATTAATAATTTTTTTATTAGAAAATTATAATTGAACATCAAATGTTTTATTACAAAATAAAGCAAGTCCACCACTTGCACCACAAGGATCAACCGTAAACAACAAATCAAACCCAAAATAAAATTTAAATTGTTCTACAAATTCAGAACATTGTTTTGTTTCAGAGAGAAAAAGAAAGTCTGGCCTAAACTTCCTTCAAATTTCCCTAAGATAACTTATTGTATACCTGCTACCCAAGCCCTGACAATTCCAACTTAAGACACGCATTAATTATAACTTTGAGAAACCACTTCCTCGACCATTTCCTCGATCTTACGTGAAGCATTCATACCTCTCTCTGCCCCCCTTTTTGGATCCCCCGATATCCCCTTCTTACGTGGTGTAACAATCTTCAGGAGCTTCTTTGATCCTCCTCCCACTGTGAAATTCCCTTTGCTCAGCTTCTTCTTCGTCCCAGCTTTAGGGGATGCCTTGACAGTCACGTGAGAAGTACATGACGACATCGCGGCTTCTGCTGTATCCCCCTGATCTATCTCCCCTGTTCCCGTATCCATCATAAAAGCCTCGATATTTATACCATCTAATTTCGTCATTGTGCCATTTGCTTCTGTATCCAGTTCCTCTTGATCCATTGATATCTTCTCCTCTGCCACCACATCATGATGAGGCTCCAGGAGATCTGAGAAAGACTCAAAAACCTCAAAACCTGTACTGCCATTTGCCTCGCCATCTCTCAAGTTTTGCTCTACCAAATCCTCCATAGTCACACGATCAATCAACTCTTCAAAATCATCCATCTCGGGAATCACTTTATCAAAATCCAGTCCCTTTCTAACCTTTTTAGCAGATTGTTGTGCTGGGCTTAGTGGGCTAGATTGTGATACCACCTTCCCCGTTTGATCCATCCCCATATTCACCGAGTTTGTCTGATTTGTCACCGTTTTATCTCCCTGGCCTCTAGTGACAGTCCTGGATGAACCACCATTTCGGTATCTCCCCTCTCTCGTTGGGACTGGCCTTTCTGCTGCCCTGGGGGCTCTCTTCTTATCATCCGGATAGGCATAGCTGTGAGAATCCCTCCCAGCCACTTTCCTTTTCCCCTTCTCTGTAGCCCCCACAACTTTCTGCGCCTCTTGGTGATGGTTCGATGAATCCCCTTGGCCTCTTAAAGCGCCTTTGTAGCTCGTGGCTCCCCCTTCATGTTTGTCATCCCTATAGCGAACTTCTGACGACCTTTCCCTCTTTGGATATAACACCGGGCATCTGTCCTTCGCATGGCAAAGGCTTTAACATTCCCTGCAGAAACCATGAAGCCTTTCGTACCGAAAAAGAACGAGCGTCTCCACACTGCCCTGAAACTCCACGACCGTATCAAAAATTAGAGGTTGAAATGCATCAACCGTCATCTGAACTCTGTCTCCGTCCAGATCAACCTCTCGTACCACTACAATGGCCTCTCCAATGTTCCTAAAGCTTGTCTCAGCCCAGAAGTGCAGAGGAACGCCCATTATTCTCACCCAAAACGTGAGTGAGGAAGGGTAGTTCAGCTTCATTACCGGTTCCCATCGTACCAGAACCACCATCCACCCGTCAAAGTGATACGGCGCCAGATTCAATACCCCCGTGATGTCCTCTTCATTGTCCAAGTCGAATTGAAATCTACCCATGCCCAAGTCCGCTCCAGCCACTCTATCTTCGACCTTCCAGATCTTGGGGAGCATGAACAATAGAGCATTCATCTCCTGAATAGCCGGATTCATACACCTCCCAATAAGGGTCTTGGAGTAACCCCTTATGAGTTTTGAATTATCAAACCGAGACACTGTGATCTTCATCCTTGACACCAAAGTGGCCTTTCCCTTGTTGCTCCCACCTCCCGAACCCACCAGACCTGATTGGGACATAGAAAAACCAGAGGAAATTGCTTAATTAGCCTGCTTAGTGAGAAGAACTTGAGAGAAGAAACCGATGATGTAGAGCTGGAATAGATAACCCTTATTTATACTGTTCACCCGGTCATTAAACCCTTGAAATCTACACATAATCCTTGTATATGATCCCGTAATGTTTGCCCATAAACAGCTCGATATTTTACCTGTCCCGATTTCCATTGATGGAGGATCTGAACCCATGTTAACCAATCAGAGATATGGTTACCCGAAGTACACCCCTTAGTCAACCGTGTGAATCCCACATCTGCTGAATTTATCACCAAACTAACACCTCCACTTAAACCCTGGATCCAAATTTGATCGCCTCCATTAAACACATCGAATCGCTGTTTGATTTGTACTTTTAACCAAAATCTGCAGGAGGAAATTGACAGTAGGAGCATTAACTGATGATTTAAGATCACAATCCCATGATATGTTAACCTCAATATTAACCAGTAATTTGACAATCCACCATAATTCCCTAAACCATAATTCCCTAAGCCATAATTCCCTGAACCCCTGTTAATCTCAATCTCTAGAAAACAAACCCAGTATGTGGTAGATAAAGGACCTTTCATATCCTTTGGTTGATCCTGGGTGAAGTCCGCATGGCCTGTAGCCTCATTCCTTTGATTCTCCATCCATCCAGAAAGAAAAACCCACCACCCGTCGTAGTCTCTCGCACTCAACCTCTCGTGTAGCAAAAACGTGTTTCCCATGGAAGTCTTGGTCGCTACGAGAGATTGAGGTTTCGAGCATCTCCCAATTTTGCCCCCATGGCCATGATATACCGCCTCCAGAAGCATCGCTGCATCGTTCGTGGAGCCCAATCCGATACCAGATCCGAAAGCCTCTGTATCCCAATCGAGAGGGAAGCGCATCTGGGACCTCCCCTTTAATCCCGTCGAAGTCCTCTAAGTCACCATCAAGACTCGCAACGACTCCGTCGATTCTCCCAATGTCACCAGTCTTCCATCCCCCTCCACATCTTGTAATCGAGAGCCTCTCAAATCCGACAGCCCCCAAAGATTGTCCCAGTAACTCGTTGATTTCATTAAACCCCTTACGATTGCCTTCCATTCGACCAAACGAAACCTAAATCGCCATTGCCCTCGCCCGAAGATGAGAAAGAAGCGTTACGGCTTTTGTGTGTTGATGTCTAATTTGTTTTATATTTTTTTCTTTTTAAACATGGCCATTTTGGCTCTTTTTTCTTTTCTGATATTTTTTTTTTTTGAGAGCTACCTTCTTTTCTTTTTAAAACTGAGCTTTTAATTTAAAAATAGACCAAGACCACTACTTAAAATCATTAATCTTTTTATTTTCAAACCCCAAACACCATTTCTTTTTAAAACCGAAAGCAAATAAGCAAGAACAAGCAACACCAATGAACCCCCGCCCCAAAACAAGCTTAAGACTAGCTTCAAAATGCAAAGCTAGCAAGAATATGAAAGCCTAATCATGTCGCCTAATCCTAACACTTTATGCCAAGTTCAAACCGAAAATAAGGCCTCACAATGATGTTACACAAGAATATTGTTTTGAAAGGAAGGTAAGGGTCAAGGTAGGAAGTTCTATTCAGGCTTACAAGAGAGTGGTGAAAGGGAAAAGAAAGCCTAAATATGTATGTGATCCATGTATCCATTTTCAAATGCACAAGTGTGATAATTCTAAGATTCAAATTAAGGTTCCACTTATTATGAAAGGATTCAATACATGAATGTTCAAGTTAAGCCATGAAAATCAAAACAAATGATCCAAGTACAGTTAGAGCTTACTTTCAAAGTTTGAACAATGCATCAAAGAGTTACTAACTAGGGCCTTGAACTAATTCATGAATTTAAAACACTTTACAAGGAAAAATTTGTATCGTTGCTCCCTATGCAAATGCAAATACCTTAGATGATTTTAAAAATTCTAGACTCAAGCTACATGAATTTTTTTGAAATATTTTTTTTTTAAAATAAAAATTTATGATTTTTTTTTGTATTTTTCTATGCCTTAGATGAATATAATGCAAGACTCAAGGATGATAACAGAAAATAAGAACCAAATAACACAAGTCAGAGCACACACTCCCCCAAACTTGAATGACACCGTCTCGGTGGCAAACAAATTCAAGAGGAGTTCAAAACACAAAGCAAAAAGATGAAAAATATGCATGGTATTTACAAGGTTGTGTGTGGTACCTTGGAGCTAGGCTTGGCTGGAGCTTGAGGATGCTCCAGACTTCCTGCTCTTCCTAGGAGTGTCGTGGGTGGTCTCCTTGCCTTTGCCCTTGCTCGTGACTTCCTGTAGAGAAAGGCGTGCAGCGTGGTTGTTGCCTTGGGGCTCACAGATCACCACACCTCTGGTTGAATTCCTTTTCTTCTCCGGCTGCTGAACCTCCTCACTTGAAGTCTTCTTAGGTGGGATTCATTGTAAGACCTTGATCTTCTTAGCAAGCTTCTTAATCATCTTGCTCTGCCACTTATTGACTTTGCGCTGAATCTCCACGACAGATGCAAGAAACTTCTCGGCTTTTGTCCTCGGCTCATAATCAAGTTTGGGAAGGTCGAAGCTCGTGGGCATCTCAACATCAGAAGGAGGTGACTCTGAACATGGGCTAGCAACTTGTGGTGGCGCGGCTGTGGCTCCTAGAGGTGCAGCACAATCCTCATCGCTTGGCAGAAACTCTATGTTGCCAACGCCTAGCAGTTCTGTTTCCTCTTGGTTTGGTAAGATACACTCCTTCTTCTCATTATCACCATTGACGAACAAGTAGGTGTAGAAACCTGGAGCTGGAGTGCGTCCCAAGGAGTCAGTGTTGCGCAAGTAAGTCTCGTCCATGTAAGCTCTCTCCGCGCAAGGTTGAAACTCCTAGATAGGTACCCCTCGCTTGTATGAACAGCGGTGTGAGGAAGCCTCCTAATGAGTGCTGAGCTCGCCTTGCATCGCATTGCCCACGCCTTGTACTTGACCAAAGAGGAAGCCAAAATGCATCCATAGTTGACATCATCTCCAAGCACATTTTCCATTGGCTCTTCATTCTCTTCAGGATCACATAGAATCTTCTTAACTCCTTGGAAGAGAAAGGACAACTCATTCTTGGTGACGGTTGGAGCCATGGATCTCCCACTAAAAGTGTTGGCTAAGAGCTTAAGGGCGTATCTCAGCAAGGGGTTGCAGACCTTCTTGATCTTGGCGGTGTTGGCTTTGTAGTCATCATTGCTGATCAAGTCCCATAGATCGTTTGCTTGTTCGAAAGGAGGGAACTCTACAAGCTTAACGTTGGCTTTTAAACCGTAGGCTTGGCATAGCTCGGGGATGGAGAGGTGGTAGGCTTGCCTCCTGATCTTGAATGTGAGGTGACCTTGAGATGGAGTGGGGAGGCTTGCATTCTCATAATAGAACTCCAAGGTGGAGAAGAAATCAAGTGCGGCCTCGGGATAAGTAGGGCAGTCCATCCTTGACAAGCACGCAAGCCCCATTCTTAGCCAAGTGTATCCGGTTTTAAAGTGCATAAGTGTGATTCACGGTTTTGAGCTTAATGAATGTTAAAGGATAGGATTCTTGGATTGTTTGGGATATGAGAGTCATGATTTGAAATTTATTATGTGATGAGTATGGCTAAGTTCTTTGGAGTATGAGTGTGTGCATTGCATCTTAGGATTAAGAACTAGGACCATTGAATTGATTCATTTGAAAAACACTTTTGCAAGAAGCTTAAACCCCTGTTTTCAAACCTCTCTTCCTTTCTTGATTTTTGTTTGCTTGAGGGCAAGCAAAAGGCAAGTTTGGGGGAGTAGATATTATCATATATTCTGCATATTTTGCATGCATTTAGAATAGTTTTTTATGCATTCATCTTGCATAATTGGCTAGTTTGTTCCATTTGATGCATTTTAGGTTCTAGGTCCCTTTGCATTCGCATTTTGCATATTTCTTGCATATATGCATCATTATCAGGTTGTTTGGAATACTGTGGAGTTGCGGTGGCTATGTGGACGTGAGGAGGATCAGAATGGAGCTCGTGGACACTTGGAGAACTTAGCCGTGCATGCGAAGTACCCGAGATCGAGTAGCGGATCGAGCAAGGCAGGTCGATCTAGATGAGATTGACCAGAAGATCGAGCGACCCAAGTCGATTCAAGAGGAAGGATCGAGACCAAGATCGAGAGAGGAGATCGATCTGGAGTACGGACATGAATGACGCCATGCAGATCGAGTTCCCAACCCGATCATCACAAGATTGACTCAAAGATCGACCGAAGCCATCCGATCCAAGACCAAGATCGAGTGGCCCGAGTCGATCCCAAACGAGCCTTATCCGTCCAGCTGTCTTTGGCGGCTTGCGAAAGGGGGACCAGTTAATGGTTTAGCCATTTTTGGCAAAAGCAGCCATCACTTTCTATGATCTTCATTCTGTCTTTTTGCTTTTCTCTCTGCCTTAGGCGATTTCGCCATTGTTGAACATCTTAAGTTTTTCGTTTTTTAAACCTTTGGATCTTTTAATATTAAGCAAGTTTTTCCTTTAAAAAAAAACAATGGTGGAGATGCGGTATAGTGGTAAGTATTCCCACATTATCAAATGGCGGTAAGTATAGTATAGTATAGTACTATACTTACGACGCGGGTGACACCTATGTATTCCCGCCTGTACGCACCTATGTTTCCTCCTGGTTTCATTCCACAACAACAACAAATGCAACCGCAGCAACAAGATTCGGTACAAGCAATGTTCCAGCAGTTGCTTCAAGGTCAAGCTTCAACTAATCAGAAGTTTGCCTACACAAGATCAAGGGTGGTTAATCTTGTTGGTGGACTGATGGAACCGTCTGATGGTCGTATGACTCGTTCAGGCCAGTTAGTGAATGGACGATGAATAGAAATGGGCGAGTATGGGATCAGGGGATGGTTATACAACTCGTTCCTTCTGATCAAGGGATGATATGAATGACTTAGTAACAAGATGGAGCGAAGCCGCCACAAAGCTTTATGGGTATAGAACTTGATGAGACAAACACAAACTCTTAAACAAAGAATCCCTCAAGTGTTTAAAGAATTTGCAAAATATTTTCTCAAAAAAAACTCGGTTTATTTTATTGATCAAAGGTGAAAAAAATACACTGCTGTGAGAGGGGACTTTATAAACAGTCCAAACAGCTGTTGCCCTTCTTGGGGTCTTTGAATCAAATTACACTTAAAGCAAACACAACTAATTGAATCCGAAATAGAGATATTGGCTAAACATATGCCTTGACCAACTAATGAAAGTTCAAACTAAATCAACACTTAAACACAAGACAATCACAAATTAATTAGTTATATACCTGAAGGAAATGAAATGATTAATTTGGTACATACCTTGATTTTTATTGGTTTGCTTGGTTTTATTGAAATGCTGCGTTTCTTTAGTTTGCTTAAGTGTTGCGTTTTAAGCTGATCACATAAGTGGTTGGATGCTGAATAAGGTAACTCCTTTCTTTTCTGGAATGATCGGCCATACCTTTGTATATTGCATACTTTTTATGTCTTGACCGTCGTATACCTCCTTTACATCAATTTGGCGCGTTTTTAAGGTTTGAATGAAACTGTGTTCTTCAAGTTCCATCCTTGCTTGGGAAGCTTCTTTAGATATGCTCAGCTGATCAAGTTGAGAAGTAATGTCTTAAAGCTCTTTGTTGGTGATGAGAGTTTCCACAGATTGATTAAATCCCTCATACAATTCTCTAGCTCCTGATCTAGTTCTGGGTGTATGTCTCATTGTGGGAATGGGGGTGTTTGTCTCATTGTTAGTTTCTGATGTTGTATTATCCTCTCCCCCTTGTAAAGGTTCTTCCCTCAGAACTCCTTCTTCATCAAACGGTAACAAATCAGAAACATTAAATGTGTTTGAAATGTTAAACTCACCTGGAAGTTCTATTTGGTTTGCATTGTCATTGATCTTCTTCAACACTTTGAATGGACCGTCTCCTCGTGGTAAGAGCTTGGATTTTCTTTGAGTTGGGAATCTTTCTGTTCTCATATGCAGCCGAACCCAATCTCCTTTTTGAAATGTTACTTCTTTACGGCCGTTATCAGCATTCTTCTTGTAGTGC